TTGGACGTCACTCCCCACTTGAGCCTTCAGATGTTCAAGAGGTATGAAAATTAAAAAGATTTTACATCAAATCGCTTTTGCTTAATTATGTTCAAACGCGAGTTATTTTTCATATAACAAGTAATCTAAATCGTGATCGCATTGAATGCTGGTTCTCCATCGTCCTTTAATATATGTACAATGTTTTTGTACGTAGATCAAAGTTCCCAAACCTGATAAGATCAGGCCAGGTATAAGCAAATTCGGACAGAACGTTGACATGATACAGGGATACTTGAAGAAGCTGATTGACAACTCCAAGAGAGTCGTACCAGTACAGCAACAATCCAGCACTCCCATCATGCTTTTCGCTACTGCTGGAATGCGTTTACTTCCCCTGAATCAGGTAAMCGTTGATCATATTGGATTTAATAAATAATGGTGATAGATATATTCATTATCCAGCTAGCCAATCATCCTATACCATCTTGAAAGGTAGCCGTGCCCTTGCATCTAAGTGAGATGACCGTTAAGCATTCAGTGATAGAAATCTTTGACACGTACAAACAATTATACACAGGCATCTATCATTTCAAGCTCAACGATCGATCTCGCTTCAATCCTAAGGCTTTGAAGATGGCGCTGTGAACTGCGAAGGACACGTTTCAACTATCTGTCTGTTGTTTAATGATATATCTGTGATTGCTATCGTAAACATAAACGGAAACAGAGTCTTTAGTGCGGTTCCGTCGTAGCCCTCGAAACGGAAACTTGAGTTTATGTTACATTTCCCTCAATGTAAACCCCAATATAAGGAACGGAAACATTCACTTTTACTTGCGTTTCCGACATGTTTCCGATTGCAGAAATTCTTATTTTCGCCCTATCGAAGTTAATGCCGGTAGCACATATATCTCAATTGTTCATGTGATTGGCTTCTATTTTCGCAGAGAATGGCTATTCTCAGTGAGGTTGAGCGACTGTTTAAAAACAAGACCTTCTGCCCATTTTCCTACCAGAGTGGCGACGCAAGGATTATCACAGGGAACGAGGAAGCGATTTATGGATGGATAACTCTCAAYTTCCTGAAGGGAAGGTTTTCTCCGAATGTCAACATTGGCACTGTGGGAGCTCTGGATTTGGGTGGTGGGTCAACTCAGAATGCTTATCGAGTAAGACA